AAGGTTGTTGGGTATTTTGATTATGACTTTAAGGGATCAGAAGATCTTGAAATTGTTGGCTTTTCAGATTCATATTTTGCCTCTTGTCTGGATGATCATAAATCCACGACTGGCTATATTTTCATGTTGTCTGGAGGAGCTGTCTCTTGGAAAAGTGTGAAACAGACACTTACGGCAGTTTCACCCATGGAAGCTGAGTATATTGCTTGCTTTGAGACTACACGTCACGCTATATGGCTGAGGAAGTTGATATCTGGCATGCACCTAGTTGAGTCAATATCACGTCCTCTAACCATTTACTGTGATAAGAAATCTGCAGTATATTATGCTAACAATCACAGAAATTCAGTCGTACAAAGCATTTTGATATCAAACTTATGTTTGTGAAAGAGAAAATTACAGTGTCTCAGACCCGTGTGGTACACATTCCTGGCACGCAGATGCTTGCAGATCCACTGACTAAGGGCTTACCTGCAAAAGTTTTTCAAAATCATGTAATTTGTATGGGTATTGTGAATTCCTTTGATGCCCTAATTTAGTGGGATTTTTTTTTAGAACCTTTTGTGTTGCAATTTCTCTTTAGGCTTTGTTTTCTTTTGTGATTTATGTTCACTTCAATTAGATGCGTCTATATCATTTGTATCCCCATAGGATTCAATGATTCTGTTGTGGTACGCTATGCATGTCACTTGTTTCCCCATAGAAATCAGTAATTTATGTTGTTATCTTACTGAGCTGTGTTTGAAATAAAATTCCATATTTTATTCAGATTATGAAATATCATATCACTTGTTTCCCCATAGGATTAAGTAATTTTGGGGAGTTTCATTTTCTAAAATTTATTTGTGGATTATTTATACAACTTGCTTAATTAATGCAATCCAAGTGGGAGATTGTTGGAATATTATTTATGAATTAGCATTAATTAATAAGCCCAATAGTTTGGTCTTTATGATCTTGTGTGGACCGTGATAGGTGGACCACACAAGTGAGCCTAATGGGTAGAGGCCCAACCCACAACCCAGTAGCCGTCGGTTATTTCCTATCTCTTAACTGACTGAGTCAGAGATAAGAGATAATATAATTATCTAATTATTTAATAAAGCGGTTACATATTTGATCTATATAAGTTGATCAGTCGATAACCGCAACCACATGGCTCATTTTCTTCTACTTCCATTATCTCTGAACTCTTTGAAAGCTCTGGGGACCTGTGGGTTATGTACCTATCTACACTCGAGGTAATCGAGCTTTCTTAAGTGCTCATGGATTCTTTAAGTATGCATGAATTACTTTATTCTATCATATTTTATTATACATATGAATTGAAATGATCAGATTCAATAATTTTTCATTGTTACTTTGATATTGTAGGATTTCTATATGCTTGTATACAATAAATAATTTAAAATATATCCTATAGTTCCATCTTAGGACCTACCCACGCACACAAACACAGCGTGCCCTGCAGGGTGTTTAATTTATACAAATCTACCATTAACAATTATGAAATTAATATAATTAGTTACTAATTAAGTTTTCAATTTTGAAACAAACAATGGATCGGAATAGAAGAAATCTGTCTCAGTTACGATTCACAATTCCAAGATTGAATAACTTCTCAATCCCAAATAAAGCATATATCCGGACTAGATCGGGTTGGATGTCAACCCAAAGTCTAGTCTGAATGGAGACCGGGTTAGAATTTTCAATCAAAAGACTGGTCTAGTCTTGTTAGACCCGGGACCTGGACCGGGTTGGACTTGGTCCACCGAGTTACTGGACTAGTCCAGTTTCTTGAATCCAACTCTCTCCAAAAAGAAAAAGGCCCTCATATCCCCTTTCCTATTCACTTGTATCAATATCATAAGCTTACTATCGTTTGAGTTTCAAAGTAAGTACTATTTAATTGCACATGATCCTTGTTATGAGATTAATTATGTTTCTTTCAGTTTTTTAGAGTATAAATAATATCTTTCTCGCGTATTATATGAAGTACAAAAAAGGTGTCATACTATTCAATACCTGTAAATATTACTACTGTTTTTTTTATTCTTGCAAGTGTCAAAGAGTTAGTTAGAGATTTGCGTTAATTATAAATGTAAGATTTCCATTTTTTTGTCTCTTGTATTTTATTTTTGTTTAAATTACCCTATAATCATATTTTCATGCGATATGGAGAAATGGAGAAATGACAAATGAGGCTTTCAAACTTCAGAGTTCAGAGACCGAGTCTGAAGCATGCACGTGAGGTGTGAGGGTACTGTTACTGGGCTCAACTAAGTAAGATCTTTTTTTTTTGTAAATAATATAATTATTTAATATTTAATATTAAAAAAATAACCTGGACCGGGCCAGACTGATTGGTCCGAAAGAGCAATCTCTAGTCTGGTCTGACCCGTTCAGTCCAGTCTTTTGTTTCGGTTGAATTTTTCAGGACCGGGTCACACCGGGTCGGACCAAACAGATCAGGTTTGAGGTTTTTCTGCACAGCCCTACCCATCACAATCATATGTTAAAAAAAAGAAAAAGAAAATCTCTCTCCTTGTTTGAGCCTTCATTTATCCACTCCAGGAAAAGCAAGAGGTTAATTAGCTCGTATTAAACATAAACTGGCCTAAAAAATGAGGGGTAATATTATCATTTGACTGTGAAAATTAACCTCAAATCAGTACCCTTATCTTGAAGGATATATCAATATTTTTGAAGTCTTCTTTTTTTATTAAGTGTGGTCAGAAGGTTTTGAGTGAAATTTTTCTTTTTTACATTTTATAAAAAATAATAAAATGACGAAAAATATTTAAAAGGGCAAACTTCACCGAAATTCACACATCCCAACTTTAAATAATTTAAATCCCAAATATTATTTTGCCAATACTTAAACACGTGCATGATAATACGCGGAACTTGGAAACCTCCTCATTGATCAAACATATCCACGTGTTCCCCAATCCACAAACCAATGCGTTTCAATACATCCCTCCTGGCTACCTGTTAATGTATATATAATCAAATCATATACACTCACAAGAGGAAGTCAGGAATTTTAATTATGAGTAGAGATGACAAAACATAGCTATATATATATATATATATATCACTATCATAATATAAATATTTAAATATATATATATATATATATATTTAATTTTATAAACATGTCTTTCATAAGCTTTTTAACGATTTTTTTAATATAAACTATCATTAAATTAATAAAAATTTCATATTTTTTTAGTATTAAATAATTTAAATGCATCATTAAAATTTAGTGTTTAATTTAAAAAATTCTATTACTGGCTTATTATTTTCTAGAAGAATATCTTAATCATAATATCTTAACTTTTAAAGAAGTGTTTTATGATAAATATCAAGAATATGTCACTCAATATATTTTAAAATTTTTGTTAATATTTGACAAAGTTTGTCGATAATAATTAACATAATTTTTTTCATTAAATATAAAATATATCCTACAATAGCTATATCTTCAAAAATTGAAACAATTGTACTATACATATGTTAAAATAACATGTAGTATTAAAATGAGAATTCTTTTTAATATCTCCAAACTTCTATAATATGTTAAATAGGGGTTGAAAATATATAACCCTTATGTTTTACTAAAAAATAAAAAATTAGGAAAGGTGTGGTCCTAATAATTATCCAGTCTCTACCCCTGTACACTTCACTTTCGTTTGGTTATACATATGATTTGATTATATGTATAAAAACAAATAAAAGTAAACGAACGTGGCATGAATAATATAATGAAATTAACATTTTCATGCGGGGTAACAATTGTTCATGCCACTTTATCCGTCTACTTCTATTTAGGGCAACGATGAGAGAGACAATCTCAGTTCTCAGATCAACCAATCCACACAGGTGCTCCGTGTGTTTCAGGGTACACGTACAGACTAAACAACGGCTTGCTCGACTGCTCAACACGACAGTCCTATCCTCTTCTTAGCAAGAATGTTTCCCTATTTTTATTACCTCTCTCTGTTTCTCTGTGTTTGTTGCATTTCTTGTCCCCTATAAAAGATTTACATTCTCTGTTTTTTTTTTAATGGAAAAATGCTCCTCCGTCGCTAAACCAGGCCACTTGTTTAGTTTCTATTTGTTTTGTATGCTAATATATAAATGCCATCTAATTTAATATATATATATATATATGAGATAATTCTTAGTCCCTAGACTTTTTTTAATTATCGATTCAGTATTTAAATTTTGACTCAATATAATTCAATTATTGTAATGAATTGGAATGAGTCTGAGTTATTTCTGGTTAAAAAAATTATAAAAACTGAATTGTTTTGAGTTAAAGTTTATATACTGAATCGATAATTAAAAAATATTAGGAATTATAAAAATTATATTTTTCTTGTATATATATGGGGTGATGATTTTATCCAAAGGAATTAACAAACTATACGTTATCTTTTGTTGGGAGCGGTTACATGAAAAAGATAAGGATAGCTTACAATTATTTCAAAATAGGATCGTGACGTTGCTAGAACTCCGGTGGCGGTGAGAATTTTCTTGAGAATAATAGAAGTGCATGTGATGCAAGATGAGGATAAGCTGGTGCAATTTTTAAGCGAAGAGGCTTAGACAACGCAAACCCACCACACACGCACACACATCTATAGCTGAGAAGAATCTGACCAGAAGGTGTGAAAGACAAATCAAAAGGAATCTGTCTCTGAAAGGTATTGTTTTGTAATTTCATTTGATCAGACATATCATTGCCCCGTTTGGGTGGTTATCGATCAGAAATGCATCCGGAGAGGCAAAGACCATTAATTAGCTACTGTCATCAGCCACATATAGTAGACCATTAGTGCTCCATATTCGAAATATTATCTCAGAAAAGCATACATATACACAGCATATCATTTATAATATCAAACAAATATTCCTATCATTTCTGCATGATGATATCTGTTCACTTTAATTGCGTTTCTTCCAACATTGATCTTACATTATATATTTATGTTTCAGTTTTTGATAATCTATTGAAAGGATAAAAGTGTATGTATGTTGCTTCAAAAGATAATAATTATAGTTGAGAGAATTTATTTGTAATCGATTGTGACAGTTTCAATCATTCAACGTGTGCAGAGCAGAGCAAAGTTCCTGAACCACGACATCATCTCCTGCCCTATATATACCAGGCACTTGGAACATCGTCTTCCATTCACGAAACTAAAGAGCATAAGGACAAGAAGATCTCAAACCTCCGAAAATTAATACCAAAAACAAAATGTCACCCTTAAATCCCCTCAGGTGCTATACTTACTCTGAAATCTTGATCCTCTGATCTTCTCAGTCTTGCAGATTTTTATTCCTTCCTCTCTGCCCTAATTCATGATCCAACAGAAACAAAAAGAAGTCCAGAGCGCGTATACGATCTCTACCGGAGCCTCCCAATGGAACTAGCCCTGGGCATTCGCGGAGCCGTCGGCACCGACGACGTCGACCCGGTGGTCACGGCCGGAAGGTGTTACTGCGTGCTGTACTGGATCGAACCGGACAACGTGTTTCACACCCGGCCGGTTCACCCCTCGCGGAACAACCCAGTCTGGGAGGAGCTTGATGTCCTTCCGGTACTTGACTATGCTCCTGAAAACTCGGGCTTCCTCCACGGAGAGGTCGCTAGGTTGTGCTCCGACACCGACCCGGGACCCTCCTCCGGGTCGGTGATCGTGGGTAGGGCTAGAGTGCCCTTGCCGAAGATACCTTACTGTACGATTGAAGATCGCTTTGGCCTCGTGAAGCATATTGGCGAAGGGCACATGTGTCTTGCAGGAGATATTATTCTGTGCATGAAACTCCAGAGAGCGTGGCCTTTCCAGCGGCCTGATTATATGATCAATAATCAGCAGTTAGAAAATTCTGACTCTGGCTGGTCTCGATCAACTCACAGAATTAATTAAGGCTTCTTTTTTCAGGCACTGATGATTATGAGTTGGTGTAGCTAGCTCGAGAGATATTGAGGTGGAATTAAAAGACAGTTTATGTGGTTTCTGGTGCACAGATATTAGATTCGTGTTGGGTCCCGGAAGAGAAGGAAACCCTTCCGATATTGTTCTGTTTTTCTTATTCTTCTTCTATATTTGCAAAACTGATCAGAATTTGAAGTTTTATGATAAAGGTGTTGAATGGCGAGTATCTTATATGATGTGCTGTGATTCTTCGTGTTTGTGCTTTGGACGATTTACAAGCTGATAAGGATATATTGCGTGGTTTTAATATGATGAGGATTCAACTCAGTACGATCGAGGAGGAGACTGGATGGTCATTTTCAAATCTCCAATCCAATCAAAGGTACAGAATGATACGTGTTATATTAAAAACACGCACTCGCTCACATTTTCACCTTTGAAGAGATGCATGCATCCCCTTTGAATTGGTTTAGTGAACACAAGTATTCAGCATCCTTATGTGCGCAGGTTTTTTTTTCTATAGGATTTTAACCCACTTTAAACTTTTTTCTCCTAGAAGAATCATCTAATTGATAAGCGTATTTATCGTTAATTTTTGAAACAGTTCTAAATAAATATTTGATGCATGTATTCAAATGATTCAAATTTCGACCCAATTTGTTTTGGTTTGATTTGATTTGATTAAATTCACTTTTATTTTACCTTTTTAAATATGCCTAGTTAATTTAATTTATTTCTTAATTTAAAACTTAATTAATATTTCCAAGACGTGATGTCCCTTATACACTCACAATTTTTTTTTTATAATCTTATGCACTCATATTTTAATTGTTAGTTAGTTATGTATTATGGTGTGTTTGGGTTAATGAGGATTTGAATTTAAACCAAATCTCTTATTTGGATACACAAAGATTTATGAATTTAGATTTAGTTCAAATCCAAATTTATTTCTAATTATAATTCATTTGTGATTACAAATTCTCTACATCTTAATTATTTAAAATTCTAATTACTTCAAACACCTTGTTCTTTTTATATTTTCACTATTGATACCTTTATAAATCTTGTATATTTTCTCATCTCTTATTAATTATCAAATAAAAATAAACTCATCATTTTAAATTTTTTATTTTTTATTTTGAATTTCAGTTCATCTCTCCTTTATTTGAAATTTTTTGAAATATCCAAACAAAGAATTTTAAATACATAAATTTTAAATGTGAGATTTGAAATGCAAGATTTCAAATGTAAAACCTAAATTCAAATCCACCAATCTAAATGCTGTCTTAATTATTTTAATAGAAAAAAGGGCAAAAATGTCTTGAAAATTTTCTCCTAAGGATCTTTGGTATCCTAAACTTTTTTAAAAGAGAAATATTATCTTAGAACTTTTTAAAATGGTGTAATATTGCTTCGCTATTAAATGCACCTATTTTTTTCCTTGTTGACTAGGCATTAACCATTGCTCGATTGTGCCATTGTCTCCTTCCTCCTTTTTCTTCTTCTTCGTTGTCGTCTTTTAGAACCAAACTGACCAAAGTAAAGAATGGGAAACCATGGCTCAAGCTTGGCTTTCTTCTTTCCCTAAGGCTAAAGAAGTCACCATGGTCAAGGTTGAAGCCTGGATCGATATCAACCATGATCCTTGAGGCATAGTCATCTTCATGGTCCACAGTCATGGCTGTCATCTCTAAACCACCCTAACCTTCCTTGCTCAATGGGTTTCACTCGTTTCGCTCTCGACCTCTAAGGTCATGGCCAATCTCAATAAGTTAAGTGATCTGTCAAGCATGACCCTTGACTATTACTGTGATATAGTGTGATTGGTGTCGTCAAACAAATCATGAAGCTCTATTTCTTGCATCAATGAAATTGTAGAAAGGGAAAACAATCAAGAGTGGGTAAGAGAGACAGTCAATGAAATTGATGAAAAGACAAATTAGACTATTACTAGACTGGCTATAGAGGAAATGAGGCTTTGTTGGAAAATCCTAACCAACGATGCTTAGATTTGCTAAGAACATGGAGTTATTTAGATTAAAAACAAAAAATGAAAGAGAGCATAGGAGTGAAGAAGAGCAGGAGGCAGCATTTACAAAAATCAGAGAGCCAAGAATGCTACTAAAAAACCTTGCATTTTCCACGATTTTTATAAACCGTGGCTTTTTACATGGTTTAAATTGAAAATCATGGGAAAAGTAATTTTTTTAAAAAAAAGTACTATTTTGAGAGAAATCGTGGGAAAACATCTTCTTTTGTCACAAGATTTTCCTATGATTTCTGACAAAACCATAGGAACATCCCATATATTTCATCCCATTGTTGTTGGGTTACTAAAGGTCTTATTAAAGTGGGGATCTCAGAACTAATGTTTCCACCAGCTCTTTTAATATATTTTGATCCCATAAAGTACTGAAAAGAACGCATTGCTCTCCTAGCTATTTCAAGGACATAATTCCTTTTACTAGCATCAATTATAAATGCTGACTACAAAACATTTGCATGCTATTAGTAAATTGATAAACTATTATTGGCACAACAGTTACATGATGGTAAGTTAACAAAAATACCTCTACTTGTTCCCAAATATATTACCCTATAGATTGATTTGCCTTCTTCCAATTTCTAAGTGTGATAGGCACATTTGGTCTCGTGATAGCTCTAATATAGCTGATGAATTTATTTTTACTGTCTTTAATCAGTTGCCCTTTATCATTCCACAGGAGGGGATCTTTTTGTCCAGCTACCCTCCATCTATTTACTTCTATCATCAAAACTAAACTCTTTCTAATTTCAGTTACCTCCTACTAAAGTTGATCATCATTCATTGTCAGACTAGGAGTAGCATTAGGAGCATCACCACTAGCTACAACATCAGGGCAATCACTAGGGTCAATGCGAGGGGCACCACTAGAGTCAACGCTCGGACCACTGCTGGGATCAATGTTGGGCCACCCTTAAGAACATCAAGGTTATTATGACCTTTGTGTTTACCTTTCTTAGGAGCCATTTACCTATAAAATGCAAGAACACACATAATTAGAAAATCAATGGACACATATAATAATTATTTACAAAATTCACCAAACATGTAACAATTATTTAGAAAATAAAAAACTATATGTAATAATTAAATAAACACAAGTAATAATTATTTACAAAATAAAAACACATGTTTAAGTTGATCTTTTCCTTTTTTCTTGTGTTCTTTTGATCTTTTCCTTACTTACTCTTATGTCGAATTCTTTTTCCTCTCTTTGAAATCCAAATACCTTCAGTATAATCATTTCTCATATAGAAGGCATCACCTTCAGTAAAATCACTTTTAAGCGACATTCCTAAAAATGGATCATCCTCAACAACAGTATCATCCATGTCTTCAATGATTTTATTCGTCAATAAAACAATAGACTAATTAATTTTAGCAAGATCAGAAACATAGAACAATTATTGAGCCTGCAAAGCAAGGATGAAAGGCTCATCTTTATACTCTTTTTTATTCAGATTCACCTGTATCAACCTTAAGTTATCCTCAATTAAAAAGCTATTTTTATGGTCAACCCACTTGCAATTGAAGAATGAAATATGAAACTTTACATAATCTAACTCCCAAATGTGCTCAATTACCTTAAACTCGATATACAAATCCTTAACTTTTTCAAACAATTGGTCACTGGTTAACATTAAAGGCGGGCCACGTTCTTCTGAATTCCTACTAAAACATTTCTTGAATCGCCTATAATAATGACTTAGATGCAATCACCTGTGATGCCCCATATAAGCATTTTTCATACCATGCTCCAACCCAATTAAATCTGTGTTTTCTTCACAAATAAGGCATCTAAGTTTTCCTTTTATACTGTATCCTGACAAATTATCGTACACTGAAAAATCATTTATGGTACTAAATAACAAGGCTTTCAAATTGAATTTTTCTTCCCTATATCCACCATACACCTTAATCTTTATCTTTCACAATAACTTGAAAGTCTTCAATTAGAAGAGCCAAGTACACGTCTATATTATTGTTGGGTTGTTTTGGCCCTGAAATTAGCATGGATAGCATCATGTATTTATGTTTCATGAATAATTATTAAGGCAGATTATAAATTATCAAAATTACTAGCCAAATGCTATGGATACTACTTTGGAGCCCATGAGGATTCATTTTATCTGTAAATAATACAAGACGTAAGTTCTTTGATTCTTATCCAAATTTAGGATACTGATGATCAATCCTTACCCATTGAGGAGAGTCGATAGGATGCATAATTTTTATCTTTAATCCTCTCATCTGCATGTCATGTTAAATTTTTTGCATCTTCTTTACTACTATACAATTGTTTGAATCTATGCACAAAGGAAAATACGTACCATAATGCCCTCTCTGGACTTTTCCTATTATCTTTGAAGTGTGATGCTTTATATTTTAGACACTTAGTTAATGATTCATATTCATTTTTAAACAATATGCAATCATTTAGGCAAGCATGAATTTTTTTATAGCTCATGCCAATAGCACGTAGCATTTATTTTGCTTGATACGTGTTAATAACAAGCTCATTCACTTTGGGTGGCATCACTTTAAGAAATGCAGCATTTCACTAAAGCTCTTATCACTCCAATCGCTGCTCGCTTTCAAGTTGTACAAACTTAACACCCCTGATAATATGTGAAATCGGTACAATCACTATACAAAAGCTTTTCCACATCACTTTTTTACCTCTCAAGCATTTAGAACAATCTTTCAGTTCCTCTTCAATTACCCTGGTCATCTCCTCAAGATGGTCTTCTTCATTAGCCTCATATGCACTTATATCAAAATCATGTGACATGTAGCTCTTACTACACCCCCAACTCACATCTCTTGCCTTTCCATATTTGTACCATCATCACTTATAACTCTAATCAATTCCATAACACAGTAAATGATCTTCCAATTCAAATGCATAAACTCGTTTCATCAGACAACATTTTACACAAGGGCACACAATACTAGTATGATCATTCGTGTGCTCAAGTACAAATTTAATAAATTCTTCCACCCCATTCAAGTATTCCTTCATTAATCGATTGGAAGATATACATTCCTTGTCCATCTTCTAGATCTGGAAAGAATCATTT